ATATTGGTCTCTTTTAATAATGACATTAATAAAAATAATAATATTAATATGTACAGTACTGAAAAGCCTAGTTGTGTGATCTGTGAGTATGCACTTAGAGAAATCCAACAATATCTCAAGGTTCATATTTCTTTAATCTCTTGAAGTTTAAATTCCTAAGAAAGTTTCAAGTTTCTGTTGATAAGGTTCGATAAGTAACATATAAAACTATTTCATAAAAATCTTTGTTGCAAATTTAATTACTTTTGGCTTCTTGATAATAACTTTAATTTTTTCCCCGCTTAATCGGATTTGGAAGCATTTAAACTATTATGGTGATAACTTTGAAAGTGTACAGATTACAGAGTAAGCCATTTTATAGTTTGGGCAAAATATGCAATTATAATTAAGATTGTATAAATGAAACTTTCGTAGTAATTTCAAGTGACCTTAAAGGAATTGAGTTTTTGCAACAAACTTACATTTTTTATTCCCTATATCTTTGCAACGTGATGGTATAAACCTTTGATATTTCAAAACTCAATAACTTTCAAGATGGGCCATACCAAATTCGCAGCGGTGCCCTTTAAGATCGGACAGCCCTTTAAATGGAGTCATTTAAAATCACATCAACGCTAACTTTAAAAGAATTAAAAATCAAAATATATTTTGTTATTGAAGGATGGTCAGACTGAGGAGCAAAGGGGGGATATTGTAAAGAAGGGGGGGGGATATTGTAAAGAAGCCAATTTAACTTAATAATTTTAGTTTCTGGAAAAGCAAATTGTGAAACTTGTGAGTTTGTTATGAACGAGGTGTTCTCAGTGCTCTCAGATAAAGTAATTTTCCTTTTTTTAAAACATTTTTTTACATTTCAAGTTTTAAATTTAAAAAAAATTTGTATGTAATTTTTGTTATCTTCTTCATTATTTTAAATTTCCCACAAATTAATTTTTGTTATTTTTTAACGTTTTTTATTTATCAACAAAGTATACATCTGCTAGCCATCTGCAAATGTAACTTACACCTTGGAGTTGTCTTGTCTCATTAATTTATATGTTTATAAATCGTCTTTTTTAGATCTAAAAGGCTAAAATTGGGCTTGTTGAATCTGAAATTTTACGTAGATATCAAAAATGGTCTCAATCTTGGAAATCCGATTTAAACCAGTGCTTAGGATCCGGATCCGCAAGATTTTGGCTTCCTGGATCTGGAGTCGCAAAAATATGCGGATCCACGGATCCGGATCCAAGAGAAAAATATCAACCAAAAACTGTAAAAAAAATACTCTCAAAACCAAAATATTAACTTTTCGAAAAGAGAGATAAAAATGTCTTGATCTCTGAATGGTTCATCAAGTTTTTGCATAAAAATAAGCGAAAAAAGAAGACAAATAATTTGTAACTCAAAAAAATCAGTAAATCTTAAAGAAATGATCATGACCTGGATTCAGATCCCTTTTTTTCAGTGCAGATCCAGGATCCCGATCCGGATCTGCATCCGCATCAAAATTAAATGGATCCAATAGCACTGTTACAAACAAGTCAGTCTGTAGGTCTTCATACAAAATTGTGCAAACGGAGATTATCTTTATTTTTACCAAATTTACTCACTCCAGTTGGAAACTTACGAAGTCTATAAATTGTCATTTTTTAGATCTACAAGCCTAATATTGGTCTCTTTTAGATCTACAAGCCTAATATTGGTCTCTTTTAGATCTACAAGCCTAATATTGGTCTCTTTTAGATCTACAAGCCAAATATTGGTCTCTTTTAATCGGAACTTGTACGTAGATTTTAAAAATGGTCTCAATTTCGAAAATCCGATTACAAACGAGTCTGTAATCTGTAGACCCTTATTCCTCGTTTTTTAGACACCCTGTAGTTATATGTAGATTTATATAAAGTTGTTTGTTTATTATTTATTGCTATAATGTGGTTATATTTATTGTGTAATATAGTTCTATGTATATTTATTATTCATGCATACCTTTTATTGTATTTATTGCAGGATGACCAGGAGATGGTGATCAATGTCCTAGAGAGTATTTGCTACAGACTTCCAGCAAGCATTGATCAACCATGCGAGAGATTCGTGGACAGGTAGATTAGTACTTTATATTCGTAAATTCCCAGTAAGGGCAGTTTAAATTGCACCCTGCGACCGACGAGCATATAAAACTTGTAAGCTGTTCGCAAATCTCCACATTTATGATTTGATTTGATCTGTTTTATTTGATTGATTTGACATTTAGTATATTTGATTGATTTGATCTAGCATGATAGATTGATTTCATCTAGGATATTTGATTGAATTGATCTTGCATATTTGATTGATTTTATTGGAGCATATTTGATTGATTTGACTAATTTATCTAGCTATACCCCAATGATCCTGAGCCTGATTGCCGAATCTCTAACTCCTGATGAAATCTGTTCAGCTTTAGATCTTTGCACGGTAATCTAGATAATGGTTTGTACGATATTACTGATACGACTTTGTGACCTCGTAGTTTCATTTTTTGCACGAGTATGAGATAAACATATTTATCCCCTTGCATTAGTAATTCAAAACATTTTCTTCTATACGGACTATATGTAATAATATTAAAAATTACATCTATTAAAATGTAAAATAAAAAAATTATAATATGAGCAAACCTGAGATTCTCAGGCTCCTGTGGGATATAATCGTTTTCAGATTGGTTGCGTAATGGCTGAATATGATCTGTTTTTACATACTTTTTTATACAAAGTTGCATATTTATGAATTTTCGTATAATTTTGACACAGTTTTATGTCAAATTCTCGAGAGAGGAACATCAGATAGATGTCTTATATGTATCGTTCAACGTCTGAGATTCTCAGGTTTCATCTTATACCCCCTATCATTTTTCCTTTACAGTCCCTTTAAGATCGAAAATTTTTCATTTTCAATATTACGTGCAATTTACTTTTGCTTTATGTGACCCATTTCGAGGTAAAAATATTCTTAATTTTAAAAAATATCTAAAGCCATTTTGGTCTAATTTGGGTATGCACATACAAATATATTTTAAATATTTTCGATAACAATATCAAAATTCAAAACTTGTAAATTTTTATTTCTATTTTTTATGATTTGTTTATTTTTTATTTAAAGGGAGTGTTCGCAAAAAATGAAAGGGGGTATAGACTTAATTCGATAAAAAGCGCTTTTGATCGCTTCTAATCTTATTTCTATCTGTTGCGTCTATAAGGAGAAAATTGTTAAAAACGACTAATACCGAAGAACGTAGTATCCATACAAATTCAGAAAGATGCAACATACGACTTAGACCGTAAAAAAATCAATTTAATTTCAAACAAATCATTCAGATATTACAACCTATAGTCATCGATTATCTTTCGCCACATTTGTATATATTTGATTTTTCATAATATGTTTTGATTTTATTTTTGAAATAACATTTTGCTTCCAACTTGTTTTCGAACATTCTTGGAAATTATGAAAATGTCGTCTTTATTACCAAAAATCCTCGAAACAGGAATAAATGTTTTTATAAGTAACTCTCAAATCATAACAATTAAAACATATCTAAGTCGTATGTTGCATCTTTCTGAATTTGTATGGATACTAAGATCTTCGGTATTAGTCGTTTATAACAATTTTCTCCTTATAGACGCAACAGATAGAAGTAAGATTTATTGCATTAAGCCTATACCCCCTTACATTTTTTGCGAACACTCCCTTTAAGTGAAGGGTAATTGGACATTTCGTTGATTGAACAAGGGGCGAGCGAAATCAGTGCACATTGAAAAATGGAACTAACAACCTAATTCTCTAATCAAATCCACAATCATGAAATCTTTATGTGTTTAGAGTCAAGTTGTACAAGTTGTAGAATATGAGAGGAAACTGGAAGATACTGGTAAATATTCAAAATATTCGAAATATTGTAAATATTATAGAAATTATAAATATAATAAATGTTATAAATATTATGAATATTATTAAAAAATATTATAAATATTATGATTGCATTACCTTCTAAACATTTTTGTATCGGCTAAAAGGGGGTTGAGCAGCTTTGAGAAAACCGAAAAAAAATATTTTTTTTTCAAAAGAAATTATATTTTCACAAAATTTTAGATTATCTGGCCCTTCGCGTCGCTTTTTCGTATAGGCGCAAGATAATTTAATTTGGGGAAAACAATTGATGCCATTTGTTTCCGTGCATCTATGCACATTTTTAATAAAAAGAATCTTAAAATAAATCAATGTGATTTGTCAAAATCTTGAGTACAGCCATAAGTGCACGGTAATTTTACAGTGCGCCTGTGCGCTGCACACTGTTTTGATTTGTGTTTGATTTAAGAAATTTAGTGTTCTGAGCTGAAGATATAGCTTTGCAATCATAAATTTCGATCTTGATACATTACGCCTATAATTCCTTGTGTCACCAAAATTAGCCAATTTTGAAAACATGTGTTAGCCCTGGGGAAACATTTTAAAATTATATTTATTATTTTAGGATGTGTACTCTGTGAATATGTTATATCTAATCTTGACAAGGAAAATACAGCAAAATAATTAAATAAATTTCATTCAAAGGAATTAAGTCTTTGGGGATTAAGAATTGAATCTCAAGTTTAAAGCCTACGTTGGATATAGAGATTAAGCGTTCAAAATTCATATTCAGCACAAAAGTTGCGACCTAGCTCTGTAAACTCTTCCAAAATATTATTTGCTAATCCTTCATCTGTACATTGTACAATCAGAACTGAAAACTATTGAATGGTGGATATGGGGATTAATGCTTGATCCTCTCTTTTTCTTAATATCGTGACTAACCTAATCTTGTACTTGTATCCTGAAAAGTGTATAAAATTCAACCAATCAGAACCGCGTATATGAGGCCGATAAATTTGAAATTTTGCGCGCAATTTAAGATTTTATACAGAAACGGGAGGGACTCTTTAATTAAAAGAAACCTGTTCTTGATTTTTCTTTACTTTATCCAAGAAAGGACAGGTTAAAAAGAAAATCAAAAGTGTGTCCATTGGATACTTAGATTAAGTATTCGAGATTAAGGATATCTCATTTTAAAGTTTTCAGCTCAGGTGTCTTTTCTTTGATCATTTAAACTTGAATCTGGTTAGATCATATGAGCAAAGTTTATAGTATCAAAGGTATACAGCATCAGGTTGCAAGTATAAAGTATGCACATTCCTTTTACCTTAAGTTAAGACACCTATCACAAACCTATAAGTCCAGATCTCAATCCTATTTAGAAAGTTCATCTTGGGCATTATATGTGGCTAGTAGGAAGTCCCTAAAACTCTGATTGGTTGACTGATAAATAATTAAGATTATAATTTTGTGTGAGTAATTAGTTTTATTGTTCTAATTTTGATTGCTGTTCATCATCAGATATTGGAGGATAGTACTAATAAGGCAGAGATCAAAGCAGCTTTGGATTCAGTTTGCGCAATTCTTCCTCAAACAGTAAGTTTTATGCCCAACTGAACTGTAATTTCTATGTACATGCCTGCTTCTCAATTCTGTACTCTTTAAACCTCCAATCAATATAGTAACAAACCCCATATCTTGTAAACCTGAATCTACCTGTATACATATATATATATATAATATATAAATACGTTATAATAACCTGCCCGTGTTATCGAGCAGTTTAATCTTAATCTGTACATTATACCAAAATATTGTTAGTTGAATATGCACTCTGTTTGATTACGGTCAGAGTAATATTGTTTGGTAGAGAGTATAGAGTTCTACAGCTTGGTGTGTCGATAAATACATCTTAAGAAAACCTGTGCGAGAGTTATATCTGGATTGATACATTCTCAAGAATACAGAGAGAGAGTTGTATCTGGATTATTACATACTTAAGAATACCTGTGAGGCTGAGAGAGTTTTATCTGGATTGATACATACTCAAGAATACAGAGAGAGAGAGTTGTATCTGGATTTTTACAGGCTTGAAGTACTATAAGGCATTTGTTAAACAGCTTTAAATAGAGGAATTTTGATTGAGTTTCACCTACTGTAGATGTGTGTGTTTGTTAAATTGTATGTTAGCTTCAAAATGCGTTGTGTACAGGGCCATGACTTAATCGGGGTGGGGAAACGAGCCCCCCACCCCCTCCCTATTAAAACCACTCACAGACCTGGTGGTGTCAGTATTTTTAATTTTGGAAAATTATCAAATGTTTCTTGTAGGTGAGTAAAGAGTGTACTCAGTTTGTTAACAGCTATACAGATCTTATCATCGACATGCTTACTAGCGAGATCACACCAGAAGAGGTAAAGGGGATCCCGCCTTCCAATAAACATAATAAATCAAAATTATCTCACATTTTTAAATGAGCTGCGCGATACCAAGAGGGTTTCATACCCAAAAATGTAAAAGGACGATGACATTTAAAAAGTTGTTATTGTTGCCCAAAAATTCTGCTTAATTTGCAAAAAGTTTAAAAGGCAAAAAAAATGTTGTACAATTGAAGCAAAACACTATACATAATAAAAATAGCAAACATTATTTAAAAAGTGTTGTATGTTTAATGTTCATTTCAACTTATTTCTATTGTCACTAGATCTGTAAAAACCTTGGATTATGCGGGAAGAAAGTGGAAGAACAGTATCCTGTGGTGTATACTGGAAACCCAAAAGGTAATCCCTTTTCAAAGATTTAAAAAAAGAATTCAACAAATTTGATTCTATTTAAATTAATTATTAATAGTTTATCTTTATCCCGTCCCAAAGAAATTAAATGAACAAGTTGTGGTTTAAGAATTATTAAAAAAGTAATTATTTTAATAGGACTAATAGGACGATAATCTACAAAATAAAAACATTTCAATAATTGAATTTTATTATTAACGTAATTTGCAAATATCCATGTCGTTCTTCGTTTAACATCGTTATTTCTACAATCTCTGTTGTTTTTGTTTTGGCAAAAACTAGTAATTTTCAGTCCTTCAGATCTTCTTGACTTATCTATCTATATATATAAACTTGTGAATTCTGTGTGTTTGTCTGTTTGTTTGTCCAATCATAACTCAGGAATTCCCTGGTCGATTTGTTGATTGAGAAGCTCGAGAGAGTCATTGGAATGTTCTTAGCTTGGTTTTGAAATTCTAAGTTGAGTGGGTTGGCTTTAAAAGCGAAAATTTAGTTTCCCGGGAAACTCGACCATGTGAGGGTAAACTGCGGGAATAACTATGAGTAGCCTGGGCAGCGCCGGGTTCCCAAGCTAGTAAAATAAAGTTTAATGAGAGGGAATACAAAGTTTAATTTATTAAGAGTGATTTAAAAGTTGCAAGCTCTCACGCATTCTCCTAATGTCTTCTTTAAAACTAAAAATATAATTAAATGCTTAAATTTCTAAAATGTGCCTATCCTTGGCTGCAACAAAAATAAGCAAGCCAATGTGGTAAAATCAAAGGCGTTTTGACACTTTGAAGTCGATCCAGTCTTAAAAAATGCAACTTTTTAATGCAGTCTGGATCTATTTGATGGCAGTTTATTTTTTTGAAATAATATTTAGTTATTTAATATTTGCAGATGATGTGAAAGGCCCTTATTGTTCACTATGTGAGTATGCACTGACTACTGTTGACCAAATGCTTAAGGTATATTATGTGCTTAAATATTCTGAAATAATTGCTAAAAATATGCTGAAAATATGCTGAACAATTTGCTGAAAAATTTGCTGAAAATAGGCTGAAAAATAGGCTGAAAATATGCTAAACAATTTGCTGCAAAATAGGCTGAAAATAGGCTGAAAATATGCTAAAATATGCTGAACAATTTGCTGAATAATATGCTGAAAAATATGTTCAAAAATGTGCTGAAAATTTGCTGAAAATATGCTGAAAATAGGCTGAAAATAGGCTGAAAAATAGGCTGAAAATATGCTAAAATATGCTGAGAATATGCTGAACAATTTGCTAAAAAATATGCTCAAAAATGTGCTGAAAATATGCTAAAATATGTTGAAAATAAACTGAAAAATAAGCTGAAAAATATGCTGAAAATATGCTGAAAATATGCTAAACAATTTGCTGAAAAATATGCTGAAAAATATGCTGAAAAATATGCTGAAAAATATGCTAAAATATGCTGAAATATGCTGAAAAATAAACTAAAAAATAGGCTGAAAAATATGCTGAAAAATATGCTGAAAATATGCTAAAATATTCTGAAAATATGCTGAACAATTTGCTGAAAAATATGCTGAAAATATGCTTCAATATGCTGAAAAATAAACTGAAAAATAGGCTGAAAAATATGCAGAAATATTTACTGAAAAATTACAAATATTTAATTGCAACAAACGATTGTTAATTCCTACATAAGTGACATAATAGCTTAAATGAAACAAAGCTATTCAGTGAAACTTCCTGCAAAAAAACGTAACCATGCTTGATGACAAATAGGTTCTAATAGAAAATAAACAAAACTTTAATTGAAATCAAACTACAGCAATAGGCGTAGTGATCCCTAATTATTCTGTTTTGATATTAGAAATACAAAACCAGCTAAATTAAAAAAGAGAAGATTTTTTTTCGAAATTGGATGAAATAAGAAAATTAAAATTAATATAAAAATTTAAATTTTAGGATAAACAGAATGAGGAGGAAATTGAGCAGGCTCTGGATATCGTCTGCTTCCATCTTACGTAATAATTTGACATTTTAATATTATTTTTTTTAACATTAGAGAATTATTATTAGCTTAAGTATAGTCGGATAGGTTTTTCAGCTTCTCCCGGTTTCAACAAAATTGCATAATATCGTATTCGCTTCTATTAGTTTTCCTTATTCATTTCTAGTTTTTGATAAACAATTTGAGCTTAAAACAAATTTCAACATTAGAACTTTGGTTTTTATTTTCTTTTTTGATGTTTTCTTTCTTATCTCCACCCCCTTCCCAATAAATCCCACCCTACCCGTTTCAGCTGTCAGAGACTCAAGTTACAACACCCGGCAATTCTTACTTTTTCTTAAACTTTTTCTTATCCATTTTTTGTTTAAACCTTTCTCGTTCTCCTGTGACTGTACCTTTTAAAAAACAAACTCTAGACCAACAGGGTTTCATCTTTTTTATTTATTTTTTCTATTTTTGGATCTTTTTTGAACAATGTATTTTTTCTTTTTAATTTCTTTTGTTTTAGATCTCTTTTGTTTTATTCTTTTATTCTTCTTTAAGTGTTTTTTGGTTTTGTTGTTATTTTTTCTAATTTTTGTCCTTTTTCACTCTTTTTTGTTGGGCAGTTGGCATTTTAAAATTAATTAATTTCATCAAAATGTCTTTGATAGATTTCTAAAACTTTAAAAAATACATTTTTTCCGGGCGAAAGTTTTTAACTTCAACTGGCCCATAAACCTTTCCTGACGGCCGTGGATTGTCACAAAAAAAATCGGACTCGATCGGTTCAGCCGTTTTGACGTGCATTAGATACTAATAGACAAGGAAAGTATAGATCTAGATTAATCTAAACGATTATTAACAAATCAATTTATCTATATATTTAGAGCCCCAGTACATAAACAGTGCTTGAAGATGGTTAAGCGGTATACAGAGCAGATAATTGATCTCCTTGTTAATGTAAGTATTGAGCTCATAAATCCGTAGAATAGGAGGATAATATTTACCATAAATTTCTAGAAAAGAGAGACGACAATTACAATAAAACTTGAACAGGAAGACGACATTTAAGTAATCTTTTATTGAAAATCAACTTGTCAAATGAAATAAATGAGTCTTTGTATATTGCTCAATTGCCGCGTTTCGCTGTTCCATATTGAAAATCATAACTTGAGTCCATACAGGGTTACCCACAATGGAGGATGCTTCAGAGACAACTGTACAGAATTAATACAGACTTTATTAAACAATCTTGGTTCTCTGCATCTGAAAACTAGTTCGTTTTGATTCTTTCTGTAGACATTCTTTATATTCAAGTCAAGGAAAGGGCAATTAAACCGCCTTATCTTTATATTCAAGTCAAGGAAAGGGCAATTAAACCGCCTTATCTTTATATTCAAGTCAAGGAAAGGGCAATTAAACCGCCTTATCTTTATATTCAAGTCAAGGAAAGGGCAATTAAACCGCCTTATCGTAATTTTTAACAAGTTTTAGATTACTAAATTTATCCTTTGTGGGTAATCCTGTATAACGAAAATGTTTTTAAAAATGCAATAACTTTAAATCCAGAATTGTGAGCAATTTACTAGCTATGGATAGATTTAACACCTCTCTTAAACTATGGTATAAATAGAAGAAGTTGACCCGACCAGACTAGTTCAACTACTTCTCAACGGATTTCTACCTCTGAACACATTTAATTTTATGATAACCTAGTACAATAACCGTTTTCAGGACTACACACCTTCCATGATTTGCTCGGAGATTTCTCTATGTGTAAACTCAGAGATTAGGAATACTTCAAATTAAACAAAAACAGACAAATTTTGCTTAAAAATAACATAATAAAGTAATGGACACAAAAGGTTTAAACCTAATAATTTTAATTTTACCAGATTTTCGTTTAGCAACAAGATATTTTTTTAGTTTTAAATACTTTTTTGTGTTAAAATTTGAAATTTACTCCTACAATAGTTCTAATGATATAACAGACCTGGATTATCAAGTCAGCTATGATCCTAAACCTAGCCAGGTACCATACAGTATACATCCCATACCGTACAAGAGACATCCTCCCCCCCCCCCCCCCCCCCACCTCAACTCCTGCCCAACATTTATCAAAGTTAAGAATTAGGGTTAAATCTTTTATTCAAAAACCATTAAACACATGTTATAGAGTGGGAAACGCAGAAAGGTAAAAAATGGAACAAAAAATCGTTTTTTGAAATGGTATTAGATTTTGGTATTAGTCTGAATACCTAAAAACGCTCAGTCTATACACATTGCAGATCAATATTATTATTATGTAACGGTGTTTACCATATTCATCATTATTATTAGTAAAATAATTGTTTCATTATAGTTTTTTCATTTTTTTTTGTTGTTTTCGTCAAAATTATATATTATCTTCATTTTCATGATTTTTAACGCTATCCAATTTATAGAACTATCATAAGCAAAGGGCCTTTATGCATATAAAAATAGAAAATTTTACATGGCTCAAAAACGACTTCATGCGTTTTGCAGACTTATGTAAATTAGTTCACGCATTTCCAATTTAAAGTGAACTTAACATTAACCTAAATTTAGGATAAAGATGTTGGTTGTGTGATGTGTGAGTTTGCTATGCAAGTTATCGACGAACATTTGGACGATGAACCAACCATTGAACAGGTAAACAGACTCTTCAATCTTGGTGTGCTCTATGGTTCCTAACCCTATCCCTAAATTTGTCTGATAAAGATTAAAAAAATATGAGATCTATAACTGTAATCGTTAGAACCTGCAAGGGTTTGAAGAAAATCTCCGAAATACATATTTTATTTTTGCATGTTATGATTTTTTCTCCAAGATATGTTGATTTTTGCATGATATTTATATTATAACAACTGTTGAAACATTGAGATATCAATTTTATTTAAGTTTGACAAATCAAAGCAGTAGACGTTCTTTTGGCTTCCCAAATCGTTGAATTTAAAAAAAATAGACATACGTATTTCAGATTGAGAGAACCGTTCAATTCCTGTGCAGCTATCTTCCAGGTAGTATCATAACACTGCTTGTAGATCGTACACTGTATTTGAAGTTACCCGCATTTTGAATAGAGGGAAAATGTCGTCTTCTAAAATCTGTCAAGTTTCGTTTTATAAAAGGTATCTTCAAAGGAATTTGAGATACACGTTATTAAAAGAATGAAAGAGTCATATATCTAAGTCTTGTTAACAAGAAATTTATTTATTAAGATGTCATTTTTAACTTCTTTCATAATCTTTATTATATTTATATTTTATAGGAAGCATTGCAGATATTTGTGAACAATTCATTGATAACAATGGACAGAAGATAATCGAGGGATTGGTTTCTGAAGAGTTGAGCCCTAAACAGGTATTAGAGAGAAACTAATAAATAGATTGGTTTCTAAAGAGTTGAGCCCTAAACAGGTATTAGAGAGAAACTAATAAATAGATTGGTTTCTAAAGAGTTGAGCCCTAAACAGGTATTAGAGAGAAACTAAAAAATAGATTGGTTTCTGAGGAATTGAGCCCCAAACTGGTATTATAGAGAAACTAATAAATAGATTGGTTTCTAAAGAGGTGAGCCCCAAACAGGTATTAGAGAGAAACTAATAAACAGATTGGTTTCTAAAGAGTTGAGCCCCAAACAGGTACATTTAAAACTATTCAAACACTGTCATGTTTCGTGGGACGCCCTATATCCGAGAAGTTTAACACTGAACAGGTGAAAACCCAGTCCTAACCAAGTGTTAAAACGAAACCAATAATTTGATCGGTGGTTCACAATCTGAGACATTATAATGATCACCCTCAAGCTTTCGGTGTATTCTGCATTACTCTAACCGAAGATATAGAAGCGTTTAGTAGAGAGTGCTATATATATATTTATATTTATAAATAACGTCATGTGACTCAAAATTTAAGTTTTGTTAACGGTTTAAAACAATTTCTTTTCACAAAAACATCAGTTAATAATAGAAAAAATAAATTGAACTTTTTTTACGATTATTACCGTTTTTATGCAATACAAGGATTCACACAGCAACATTCTGTACAGTATACAGTCTACACTGTACATTGTACAATGCCTTTATAATTTATATGGTATTCAGGTGTGTACTGTACAGCTGAATCTGTGTCCCGTAGTTGCAAGGTAATATTTACTCTTCTACTCTTCTACTCTTCTACTCTTCTACTCTTCTACTCTTCTACTCTTCTACTCTTCTACTCTTCTACTCTTCTACTCGTCTACTCTTCTACTCTTCTACTCTTCTACTCTTCTACTCTTCTACTCTTCTACTCTTCTACTCTTATTTTCTTCCACTCTTCTACTCTTTTACTCTTCCACTTTTCTACTCTTCTACTCTTCTACTCTTCTACTCTTCTACTCTTCTTCTCTTCTACTCTTCTACTCTTCTACTCTTTATTAGAGAAAACCGTGAACTATGCTGAAGCAATTTGTTTCAGAACTAAACTAAAGTTGTCTGTTTGTGAACTATACTGACGATATCTGTTTCTGAACTATACTGAAGATATCTGTTTCAGAACTAAACTAAAGTTGTCTGTTTGTGAACTATACTGACGATATCTGTTTCTGAACTATACTGACGATATCTGTTTCTGAACTATACTGAAGATATCTGTTTCTGAAATATACTAAAGTTGTCTGTTTGTGAACTATACTGACGATATCTGTTTCTAAAATATACTAAAGTTATCTGTTTCTGAACTATACCAAAGATATCTGTTTCTGAACTATACTAAAGTTATCTGTTTCTGAACTATACTGAAGATATCTGTTTCTGAACTATTCTGAAGTTATCTGTTTCTGAACTATTCTGAAGATATCTGTTTGTCTGCCTGCCTTGATAAAAGCCTAGAAAAATAAACACTTTTGATTTTGCGACACATCCGGGGGTTAGCAGAGTGGGGGGGTGGCAGTGGTTGCAGTGAGGAGAGGGGAAGAAATAATGGGGGTGGGTTGAAATGAATGAATGGAGAGTTGAATGGATTTCGGGAGAGGGTGAAGTTTGTATTTAATATGGGGGAGGGTGCTATGAACTCGAAAAAAGGGGGTAGAGACTTTGGAATATGACGGGAGGGGGGTGGGGGAACGTAGAGTGAACGGAGAGCGCGAGGGAGGAAGTAAAGCGTCAAAATAATCATATCCATCTCTTTCCACCTTACCGAGTACTCTGAAATAATTCTACTCCAGGCAACCAGAATGGAAAACTTGAATTCTAAATGAATGCAATTAATGTAATGTTATTAACCTGGAGTAATCCAAAACACATGTTTATATAATTATAAAGTCATCATTTAATTTCAACTTTTCTATATTGTGAAAGCTGTATTTTTGCTTATATATATATATATATTACCCATGTTTATTGACTGAACTCTTCCACTCTTCCACTCTTCCACTCTTCTACTCTTCCACTCTTTTACTCTTCTACTCTTCTACTCTTATGCTCTTTCGATCTTCTACTCTTCTACTCTTCCACTCTTCTACTCTTCTACTCTTCCACTCTTCCACTCTTCCACTCTTCTACTCTTCTACTCTTCTGCTCCTCCACTCTTCCACTCTTCTCCTCTTCTACTCTTATACTTTTCTACTCTTCTACTCTTCTACTCTTCTACTCCTCTACTCTTCTACTCTTCTACTCTTCCACTCTTCTACTCTTATGCTCTTTCGATCTTCTACTCTTCTACTCTTCTACTCTTCTACTCTTCTACTTCTCTACTCTTCTTCTCTTCTTCTCTTCTTCTCTTCTTCTCTTCTACTTTTCTACTCTGCACTTGTGTTCTAAAACTACCCTGACTTAAATTTAAAAATATTTAGATTGGTAAGAACAATTTTATGAAAGTTTAAAAAATGCAAGTAAACGAATCGGATCGTTTTTTTAAAACTTTTGCCCAAGGCATTATACTGTAAAACTTATTGGCGATATACTTAAAGTAAATATATATAAGAACGTACAGAAAACTTACTTTATAAACATTTTTCAAACAATTTTTCAGCAAATATTCTTGAATATTTTTTATCACATTTTTTTAGGCCTAAAATCCGAAAATTTTCAACATTTTGTCGAAAACATCGAAATTATTCCTGTCTTTTTTACTCACCCTGTATATATATAAATATATTCTATTGTACAGGCAAGCCTGTAATTTTGGCCCTGAGCTGTGGTGTGCTACACCTTTCCATGCCAGGCTATGTAATGCGGAGGAATACTGTCAGGTATAATCAATCAACTAATCAATCAATCAATCGAATAATCTATTTTTCATTAAATCAATTTTATTAATCAAATAATTGATAAATTGATAAACCAGTAAATGAATTTTATTAATCAAATATTTGATATATTAATAAACCAGTAAATCAATTTTATTAATCAAATGATTGATACATTGATAAACCGCACTGTATTTCCACCTACTAAAACTTTAAACCCTCAAACCTATCCCTGAATCAAAAATCCTACCAACAAATTTGAATTGAAGGATTTATTTAATAAGTATTAAATAAATTAATTGAACAAGGGAGAAAAATAGTAAAATATGTTTGCCAGTAGTTTTTTCTTGGTCAAAATTTTAATTTTGATTTTATTATGAAAAATTTATTTTAATTTTGTTTTCAGGCGCTGTCTACGATTAAGAATTGAACATTTGCCAATATGGAATATGCGTGAATTCTGTATATTATCAACGACGATATTCATTATTGATATCTCAATCTAAAGTTAAATCATTAAAGGGAATATGTGCACAAAATTGAGAGGCACTTAGAATATTCCTAATTTCTTGATCACATAAATCTCTCTTTTAATTTAAGGAAAGTCGGTCACTATGAAGAATACAAAATATAAAAATGTAATTGACTGTTTCCTGATTATATAATAATCAAATAAATTTTGATATTTAATACACATTCTTAAAAGAGAAGACGAGAGAACCATAGTTTAGAGAAATGAGTGAAAAACCCTATTAGTCACTTTCTTTTCCCATCTACTTTCCTACAGCAGAGGATACTGCCAATAGAAATACAAGAAGAATTTGACATTTTAGAGAGCAAATAAACAATCTAGTTCAGTACAAATATTAAAAAGGTTTAAAACAAAACTTTATCTTTAAAAGCAAGGAAAAAATCCTCTCAATCCTGAAAGCTGAAGAAGCTAAGACAGCAAAGGAGGATTATTAGGGTTTCCACCTAAAAGTGGCAATCGTTTCGCGTAAAAGAATGCAAATAAAGTGCACATACTTAACCCTATTCCTGCTGGGGGGGGGGGGTCAATTTGACCCCCCCCCCTGTAGTTTGTTTTACATAACTCAAAAAGTGTTGGTCTGAGGCTGTTGAAATTTTCTGACTTTTCTTACATACCCAAAGCCCTCCCTTAAGGCCTAAAACCGGGCTTTAATACTAACTGCCCGAGTCCTCAGGCACACTGCCTGAATGACTGCTTTTGCCTGTAACAAACTAAATCTTTGTTTTGACCCCCTTTCACTTGTCAGATTTTGATAAGATTTAGCTTTTTGGAAAGGAATTGCACAAGTTTTGCGAAAAAAAAATTGCAAATTTATAATTTTATCTTATAATTATGCAAGGTTGTAATGCAAGGAAACTTAATTGCTGTCGCGTATACTCTGCGTAGTGCGTACATATTGAAACCATTTAAAATTCAGTGATGGTGATGGACCAAACCTCTGTAGAGTAAAAAAGTAGATGTTAGTTCCACATTTATTGAAACCAGTTCTCTCTGGGCGGAATTTGTAAACAAAAATAGATGAATCAGTGTTCGTTTAGTATCCGAGGAGGTTAAAAGCATTCAATTTTAATAGTTTTGATAATTCACATAATAGTTTCCTATGACCAGAATATTTCATTGACTTTTTATGTAAAAGATGGATCCCATGTCAGGCTTCGACATCCGTCTTGTGTTTACATTTCTGCCCAGAGACAGTACACTGCATTACAAAAGATGCGTACACTTCTGAAATATCTATCCTTGTATTACATCCTTGTAAATATGTAGAGGACCATTAGTAAATACGTCGCACTGATCCTTTAAAAGATATATTTTCAGAAATCCCCCCCCCCCCCCAAGTACTTTCATATACAGATTGGCCTGTGGAAGTGAAGTATGGCCTGTACAATTAGCAAAGGATTAGCGTACATCATCACTCTATATACTATAACCTCGTTGAATCTTACCCATTAACTCGTTAATTGATTAGTTGGGATTTGAGTTAAAAATATGAATCATTAAATGGAATTAAACTTCCTAGCGAGCAAAAATGCTATTATTTATAAGAGAAGACGACATTTGCTTTCAATATTTATTATACCAAACAAAGTGCGTAGATTTTCCGATGCCGCATCTTTATATAGAGAGTCTTTGGATGGAGTAAACTATTGGAGAATTTATCTTAACTAGTTGTTCCATCCAGTTCTGTTTGGTGGTTATATTTATTATTGATGGTTGTTGAAGAAACCCCTTTAAAGAACATATGTGTTAAACTGTTTAAAATGTAAACAAAGCCAGAGTATCATGAGTTGACACAATAATCCGATTCTAACAATCAAACTTAATGAAACAATGCTCACTCGACACCACATGTTTTACAGTGTGATACTCGGTATAAGAGAACGAAATTCAAGCCTAATCCTTTTCTATATATTTCATATTTGTCAAGCAATTTGTCCACGAATTTTTTTCAAAATCAATTCGCGATTTATATCAGTAAGACCGATGTTGACCAGTCTCCTCCATTTTTTAAATTTTCACACGTACCGAAGAAAGACACGAATACCCATAGAGAATAGAATATATATTAGAGGGGAATTTAGAGAATCTCTCGGTATGAATTTTTTCAGTCCCTTTCAGCCTGAAAGGGAGTTCAAAGTGTACAAATCTTGTAAATGTTCACAAATTATATGCAGTAAAGTACATTAATATAGTATGTTCCCTACTATCCATTTCAATTTCGAATTTTTTAAAGATTTTAAATAAACTTTATAATGAATTAGGTGAATAAAAAACATGATTTGATTTATAGTTATAATGGAAAATCATCGTTTGTAAAGTGAAAGGCATTGACTCTATATGAAATGATCATTGGTCAATTATGAAACCAGCCTATTTCATAATTTGGTTTTCTTTTAACATTATTTTTTGATTTTCCAGGGCCCAAAAGGTTATAAAGCATAAATATGTGGTACACCTGCAGTATGGAAACAGTACAACAAAATGGTCGTTTTACACTTTTTTCTAGTAAATTCCCCTCTAATATATATACTATTCTCTTTGGAAATATCCCTCGGCCATACCCTCTCCGCCTAGAAGATATACGTTTCACAAATTTTCTTTTGAACCTATTTGATGTTAGCATCACGAAACCTCTTAAAACGGATTTATCTCAAACAATTGTATAATTTAGAATTTTGAATTTTATCCCTAGATAAATATTGATCAGTTTCACTTAACTTGTTCAACCATTTAGAAAAAAAATTGAAATTTATGTTTCCCAACCCTGTTATTAAATTGATGTAAATAATTTTTTTTTCAGGAAAGGTAAGTGTAACTGAGGTTTCCATTATTCCAGATCAATCTCTTGTTCCTTAGAGCTGAAAACTTTAGAATGAGATATCCTTTAATCTCGAATACTTAATCTGAGTATCATGGACACACTTTTGATTTTCTTCTTAACCCGTTCTTTCTTGGATATAGTAGAGAAAAATCAAAAACCAGTCTTTTAAATTAAGAGAGTCCCTCCCGTTTCTGTATATTATCTTAAATGGCACGCAAAATTCAGATTTATTGGCATCATATATGCGACTCTGATTGGTTGAATTTTATAAACTTTAGAATACAAGTACAAGATTAGGTTAGTCCCGATATTAAGAAAATAAGAGGATTAAGCATCAATCTTGATATCCACCATTCTAAAGTTTTCAGCTCAGGACCTTTTAAGTGCAAATATATTTTTTTACTTTCTGTTAATAGTTTTCTGATGTGTAGACACACATAATCTCATTTCCCTAACGGAAGGGTATTAGCATTTAAGAAAGTAAAGTATCATCTGATAATTAATGATTTTAAGAGAAAACTTAATTGTACAAATATAAATTGTTTCTTATTGTGTTTATTAACTAAACGATTTACTGTCATTATCTCGTTCAATAACTTTAATTATGTGAACAACTATCCGTCATATTCATATCAAATTTTAAGATTATGCAGTAAATTTATCATATTCAGAATTTAGTATCATATCATTATAATCACTACATGTTAAAATAGTGAAAATAAAATACTCAATTTAAAGGAGAGAATGGACGAGAAAGTAAAGGTTTACTGATAATGTATGGGAGAGAGTGAAGGTTGAGTGATGAATATGTAGGAGAGAGTGAAGGTTTAGTGATAATGTATAGGAGAGAGTGAAGGTTGAGTGATGAATATATAAAACTAAATTAGTGATAATGTATAGGAAAGAGTGAAGGTTTAGTGATAAGGAATAGGAGAGAGTGAAGGTTTAGTGATAATGAATAGGAGAGAGTGAAGGTTTACAGATAATGTATAGGAGACAGTGAAGGTTTAGAGATAATGTATAGGAGAGAGTGCAGGTTTATTAATAATGAATAGGAGAGAGTGAAGGTTTATTCATAATGTAAAAGGAGAGAGTGAAGGTTGAATGATGGATATATATTAGAGAGTGAAGGTTGAGTGATGAATATATAGGAGAGAGTGAAGACTGAGTGATGAATATATAGGAGAGAGTGAAGAATGATTGATGAATACAAAGGAGAGAGTGAAGGGTGGGTGATGAATAAATAGGAGAGAGTGACCGATGAAAAGTATTTAGTTGTCTGATAATGTTTATTGTTTTAACAACATACGGTTCTTTAATCGTCAGTATAGTTTCATACAATTCAATTACAACCTGTATTTTACGATCTACAATGTTAACTATAGACATCAAAAGTAAGGGGGGGGGGTCATGAGTATTATGCCCATTCAAATAACTTATTTAAATTTTGTGTGACAACTTTGCTAATTAGATTGACGTAAAACTAAAGTTATTATTTTTGCAGTTTTTATACATTTTGCAGTGATTTTTACAACCTTGTCTTAGTATGGCTTAATTTGACAAATAGTATTTTTAAAGTGGTGCTAGCATTTAGACTTTTTATTGTTCAGTTTATTACTGGAAATTTAACTTGTTTCCACGTTTAAATCAAGAAAAAATATCTAAATGATATTTTTAACAGAAGTGTAGAAAACAAAAGTTTCACCATTAATATTTTGATGCATTCGACGCTAGAAACTAAATTTTCAGAGTTCTTACCTAAACTTAAGCGGAATTGGGCGGTATGGAAACTAAGATGTTCAGGGTTCTTACCTAAACTTAGCTGGATTATCCACCATGGAAACTAAGATGTTTTATGTTTATCTATGAAATGTCTTACAGATAAAATGTCTATCTGTGAAATGTCCGTCTATGAAATATCCTATCTATGAAATGTCCTTTCTATGAAATGTCTTTCTATGAAATGTCCTTTAGATGAAATGTCTTTCTATGAAATGTTCAAACGCCAATTTCATGTGACCCTCCATGCAAAGATGGTAATGCAGGATTTACAATGTTAACCTTGAAAGCTTTGTCTGATCGTGAATGAATTAGATATCAATATTTAAAATATCTATTATTCATTAAATAGACCACATTATATCGTCCCATATATTAATTTCAAGAGTGCCGTTGTGCATTGCAATCTTTGCATAGAGGGTCATTTAAAATTACAATTACAGTTGTACAACCCCTTAACAGACTGCTTAAAAATAAATTTACAAATTTTAAAACAATAATCTTTGAATTTCCCTCATTTAAATTTATCATATCAAACATCCACTGTTTCAGTAGTAT